CGGCGACTAACCCACCAATACCAGACCCTATCACGATTGCATCGTACATTTCAGCACTCTGGGCTGTTTTATCTGCACCAGCCACCGATTTCAACTGCGAAAAAACGCATCTTTTTCTGTGTTCCGCACTTCGAAACCCTAAATTCAAGCCCCCAAACAAGATATCGCCACAATTCTCATTCCTAAAGCACAAACTCTTCTGTTTCTGGAACACGGGTTTGTAACCATCCAAAGCTGCTGCGACTGCAAGCCCTAAATTCAAAGTGCACATCTCGGAATTATTGTGGGTGCTGAGAAGAAATTCTGAGTTTTCAGTAAGGGAAAAGTTAAGGTGACGAGACGGAGGGGTGATGACTCAGCTTCTGGTATATGGATATGGTGGCATATTTGGCAGGTTTGGCAAGGGGGGAATGGTAGAAATAGTGAAAGAAAATGAGAGGGAAACAGAGAAAAGATTCTTCAGGTTTGGGGAATTAAAGAAATTGATTTGACTATTCACTCCCTCCGGCCTCACCTTCCATGTGCAACTTATTTTTTTTTTTTGTCCTTGTTACGTACTCTTGTTCCAAAGATGAAATGGACAAGTGATTATGACAAAAGATAAATTGCTCTCACATTGCCCTTGATGAAGCTCGATATTTCGTCTCTTGTTCCAATTTTATTTTTGGGATAAGTCGAGCTGCCCATGCACGCATCTTTGTTATATACTCATCTCTTCGTAGTATGCAGTAAAGAATATTTTTATTAGAATCAAATCATATAAAAAAATTAGATCATGACATAAAGATTCAAATTAAATAAAACTAGAAATATTAATGTGATATAAAAACCTTTAAATTTAAATAGAAAAGATTCAGATTAGATCAGACTTTAATAAATTTAGATGAGGACTAAAAAGTTTAGGCGAAGAAAACAAGTGTGTTACATCTATCGAAAGAGGTATCTATTGTTAGTCTTTCAAAATTAGTTAAAAATTTGTTAAAAATTTATTTAAAATGGAAATGCTAATTCAAAGCGTTCCTAATTAAACAATGCTTTAGCCCTATATACTTAATGAAGTTTCACTTTTATTATTCCGTGTTTTAAAACTAAGATTTCGATTGCCGATGATTTTAAAGTCGACAGGCGTTGCTATAACTTTTTCTCAAATGAAAAATCACATGTTTGAATTAAAGTCACGATATATACCCTACAAACGATTGTGCGATGTTTTCCGTACATTCGCGGCGAATACTCATTTACGAGTAACTAAGTACTTATTTTTGAATAACTGAATACTCATTTTTCTAAAATTTAGTTACGATGGAAATACATTTTTTATTATTTAAAAATAACAATTATACTGAAAAGTCTCATTTTACAAGCATGACATAACGGAATCTTTTAGATGAATAATATAAATCTTATAACAAAATAATTTAATATTAAAAAGTTAATACATAGATTGGTTTTTACTTTTTAAGGCATTAAGAGACTACCTAGCTCAATTTTCTTTTCCATTTAGCTTTTTTTAGTACACTTTTTAAAAAACGTTGGACACTATGTGGAAAAAGTAGAATGTGTTAAAATAGTACTAATTGATTAACTTTGAAATATATATCATTCAAAAAAACTTTGAAAAATATCTTTCCCATTTTATTTTTTTAGTCCACTTTTAAAAATGTTGAAGACTATGTGGAAAAAGTTAATTGTGTTAAAAATAACACTAATTGATTAACTTTGAGATATATATCATTCAAGAAACTTTGATACATAATTTTTTAGTATATTTTTTTTAATTTTCAAATAATAAAGAAAAATATATTTTGATTTTCCAAATCCTACTTTTGTGCGATCCAACTATTTTGTTGTTCAATATATATTGATATTGCTGGATAAATCTCCAATTGCATATTACGAAATAATTGTTAGGTAATAATTTGTATATAAAATAGTTAATATTGTAGAAGAAAAGTGAAATGTTTAATTAAATACGGAGTAATATTTATTCTATTATTATTAATTTCATAAAAACTAAAAGTCCATATATTGTGCTTACATTAATAATTGACTAAAAAAATCGAGTCATTGGATAAAAAAAATATATAATTCCGGTTTGGTACTAACTTAATTTGATGCATCATTTTCCCTTTCATCTTATTTCTCAAGAGATTTCTTTCTTCTCAATTATCTCTGCCCACAGTTTATTAATAAAAAAATGTATTTAAAAAAAACTTTGGTGATATTGAATTGTATTTATGGACCGTGAGTGTTATCAAGTTGCCATGCCCATATTAGTAATTAATTAGGAGTATAATAATTGGATTTTCCATTGGATTAATGTGGTATTTGGGGTAATCATCATGTCAACTAAACATGGTTTGCCATTGTTAATTTGGGGCGGTTAAACTTTGGAAATTACAGTTGACCACTGGGTGGTTCATGGTTGGTTTTCATCCGTAGGAAGAGGAGCATATTTGAGTTTCTTTTTTTTCTTTTTGCATAAAATATTATTCCACTTGGGATTTGGGTAATCCCCAAGATTTTTTTTATCATTATCTCGAGATCCATATTTAAAATGTAAACTTTCTCGTATTTCTCATTGACTTATATGTGGACATTTTTTTTGTAAAAGACTCATTTTTTAATGCTACAAATATACTATAATCCATAAAATGAGTATGAACTTTAGGTTCACAGAAGAATTTACCTAGAGGGGCACCTCAATTATAATCCATTAATCAATCATTTTATTTTGTTTATATTATCTCCACATTATTCATCTTTAAATACTTTATTTTTTAAGCAAATATGACTAACAATCCATTTTATTCATCCATTCATTTAATTATTCAAGGATTGAAGGATCCCAGTCCTACTTTACTTATTATATTAAATATTTCATTATTTGTATTATATTATTAAAAAAATTAGTTTTTTATCATAAAATAAGTGATGAATACATAAACTACAAAAATAATAAATTACTCCGTAAATAATTAGAAATTATATGAATTTATATTTAGAAGCTATAAGAATCAAATCAAATAAGAAAATTACAACAATTTAATATAAATATAAATTCAAGAACAATAAAATTACAAAATAAAACTTTTTTCAAACATAGAAAAAATTAAAAGTTATAATTCAGTAATAAAAATTTGATAAATAATCAAAATATAGTGACTATAATAATTAATTACTCCATAATTGACAAATAAAAATAATTCAGTGGGCGTGCCATATATCAACATGGATGGTGTTTAAATGTTTAAACAACTTAGAGCACGGTAATATACCATATAATTTCTATTTAATTCAAGATCAAATGTTGAAAAGTCAAAAATAAAAAAATACACAAAGACAAAGGTAGTATACAATATGTTAAATCTATAATAATTATATGTTTTAAATTTTTAATTACTTTTTAGATATATATTAAACAATAATATAAATAATATAAAAAATTAAATACATACCAATTTAAAAAAAACATAAGATAACTATGTGATCATAAAATCTGTTTGAAAACATAAATTTATTCGCTCAAAATGAGTAATAAGAAAAAAAACATAACAGTATTTTATCACGGGCAAGGTTCCCATGACATTGGTTCCCAATGTCATGGGAACCAATGTCATGGGAAGCAAGGGGTTTTATCACATTAGTTTTCATACTTCCTCCGTCCCTAAATATTTGCTACACTTGTATTCTCGAGGTAAAATATTATATTTTTTTCAATTTATTTTATTTACATATTGGTATAGAAATAAAAAATAAAATTTACATATCAAAAAACTACATGAAAAGTTCTTCGAAATAAGAAATATCAAGAATATTTTATTTTATCAAATGACCAATGAAAACGTAAAAATAAACAAAAGTTCCCGCGACTGCTGAAAAAGCAAACGTTGCAAATAATTTGGGACGGAGGGAGTACTAAAGTACATGATTTAGAAAAAAATTTACAAAGCGAGTTAATCAAATCAAGTTCAGTCAGGTTTGACACATTTTAACAAGTTGTTTTGGAATCAATGTCCTCTAAGTTTGGTCTACAAAACATTTGTTCAGAACTCAATATTTTTTAATCGAGTTTCGGGTTAAAAACAGATTAAGTCAATTTTTATTGAGTAATGCTAAGAGAACACCAAAAGTATACCTCATTTCTACAACATCACTCTCCTTACACACATTCTTAATCCATTCTCTAATCTTTTTATCCACACCCAAAATTGTATGGTGAAGAAAGTGTAGTGTAGTGTACCCCTAGCATTTTTCATTTTTGTCAGGTCTAGAATTTAAGATAGGATAGGAGTTATTAGATTGGGTAATAAGACATTTGAGTTTAACCGCATAAAAAATTGAATATGATCCATTAGCTACTTCAACTCAAGAACTTATGAACTATCATTTTCTCTTAAATATTCCAATGTGGGACTCCAAACACATCCCCTCAAATTGAAGGAAGACGAGTCAATGGGTATATAGACTTTCAATCTGACAATTAAGTTCAATGGTCCACATGCATTTGGGTATGCAATTCATACATACAACTGCGCCGAAGAATCTCAGGTTACTAGGAATGAACACTTAGACGACATCTTGACAAATAAGGTGAGCCAAAACTTACCCAGATACCGTGATAAAATTGAAAGAATATTTGGTGAAAATATATTTGAGTATACTTTTTAATGAATTATCTATACAAAGACGTGTGATATATATGAGATTCTGCAAGACAAGTATTGTATATAGAAACAAACTGCATAAGAAAATCGGACCATATCCAATAACATAACTACAATATTAATCTAATCAAAGATATTATACGTCTAGATTCGTCCGTAACAAAGGGCTAAGAAATATAAATATGCAATATCGGTTTGATGACATGTTGTCATGTTGACATTTGCCTCTCTACTTTCTAAGTAAGGGTAAGGTCTACGTATACATTCTCTACGGACTCTATTTTCGTGGGAATCTACTAGGTTGTTGTATTGACATGTTGACATCATTAGCATTGCATAACAGTAGTTTTATTGGTATTTGGTATGCATAACTTGAGCCAAATCCTTCATAGATAGTACATAATAGGCATACATAAAATATCAGCAAACCCAGCAAAATCCCTATTTCATTGGAGTTTTGGGGTCAAGATGTATAGAAACTTACTCAAAACAAACACTTACCGTTCTATAAGAGTAATTAGACCATCAATGCATTGCTATACTTGTTGCCCAAAACCTCATAGAAAGTGAGAAGCAATGGACAGTTATAATGTGTCATGCTGATTTACCGGGAGCTCAAACATTGCCACTTGCAAGTGAATATATCATTGTATGTTTAATTCATACCGGAACAAATGTACAATGTTATCATGCCAATGTTCGTAGCCAACCAAGTAGCCCAAGAAAAGCACTGTCCAGCACAGGGGATTTCCTCTCAAATCCTATGCCAGTAAAGAGAAGGACTTTCCATCAAACTAAAGTAGTTACTACAGTGCTGGGCAAGCAGGCTTAAGGACAAATAAAATTATTTTTCAAGTTCTAGGAGGTCCAATAATAAATGCAAAAATATCAAGTAAACACGTTGATTCTAAGTTGAGCGTTGAAAATTGTATGTTTAATTACCTAGATCGGCAGCAACACGATGAGCACACATTACTCCAGAAAAGGCCACGGCTATGACACCTTGACCTGGAAAACAACTATCCCCAACGCAATATAGTCCATTTACAGCCTGGAGTGTCAAACAGAGTCGATAAACAAGTTCATACAGTGAGGAAAAAATTAGAGCAAAATATATTTTCCATTATAAAGAAGTGCACATACACACTAACCAACGACAGACTTACTGTTGTGTTAAATGGCATCCCCAACAAACCCTTTGGAGCCTTGCGCGGCATTGGTCCATATGTTCCACTATCACGAGCAAGGTAACGTCTATGTGTCTTTGGTGTTCCTACCTGTGATAACACAAAGGCTTTGTTAGGGAAGAGTGCTTGTGGTTTTTGTTAGCGTTTTGGTCTTTTGGATAAATTTTTAATGGCACATGCTAGCTTAGAAAATGTTGAAGCTTAAGTCTACCACTGAATAACATTTTCAAAACGCTAAAGCCAAAGGGCTATGCTAGGGTAACATCACCTTTGACGTCACGGATGACAATCGTCTATAATTTTGACATAATCGTCTGTGGACATACGATTATGTCCTGTGTGTATACAAATATACAGACGACTGTCATCCCTCGTGTCAACGATGGTGTTACCCTAGTGTTTTGAAAGCCAGATGTTGAAGCTAATGTCAAACGAAACCAAATCATAAAAGACAAATTTTTTACTACTAATTCTTCTGTTTTAACTAAAACTGGAGCATGAAACAAATAAGTTCAGATTTTTTCCCCTTTTAAGAAGGTCATGCCATCAAAAAGTATGAAGAAAACACAGGACATAGGTTCTTAGTTCACTCTCGAGTTTCTCTCCTCAAAAACATGACAGCAACTAGAAAAATGAATCATACCTCCTTAAAAACAATGGAAGATTTGAGGCCTGGAAATAGTGTCTTTTCAAGCCTGTTTATGATTCTGTCGGCCACAAGCTCCTTCTTTGCATTGTAACTGTTCTGAGAGAGCCCCTGATGAATAAGCAACATATTGTTGGTACTCAACAGATGAATAAAGATACTTTTTTTTAGATAACAGGGTTTAATTCAATGATATATTAAATAAATACTACCTCCCAGTCCTCTATGCTTGAAACTGTAAATATATGAAGAATATGACACCCTTCTGGTGCCAATGATGGATCAAGCACGGTTGGAATGCTCAAAAATATACTTCCATAAGGCTTTTCTAAATTTTCCCATTCATCCTGTAGAATCCAAAGACCATAGAAAATGAAATAAACAAATAGACAGGATGAAATGTTCTAATCCATGCTGAATTGCATTGGTACCTCACTACCTCAAGGATAAAATGGTGGCAATCTGTGTTGGCTGGTAGAACATCTGCTTTAACACCCACATGGATAGAAAGAAAAGAAGGTGCCTTAACATATCTCTTCTGGAAATTTTCTTCTTCCTTTGGCAGATTCTCTTCCTTTAAAAGCTTCCCTACAATTAAAAAGTATGCATACAAGTCAGTCTATTTTCACAGAAGTTATATGTCATATGTATATATTAAAACTAATTAGGACTAAAAGTCATCCAAATTAGGTCGGATTCTGGTTTCAAAAATGCAATGAACAGCATCAAACCAACTAACTTAAGTCCTTCGCAGTTTTGGTCTGTTTAGTGTTTTTGTAGGGTTAGACAGATTTTGGTCCGTTTTGATTTGTTTTGGTTGGCTCGGTCAGTTTTCAAAGCCTAAACCTTAAACCAGTATCTGGACACCGTATGGTTGGATTGGTTACGATCAGTTTCAGTTTTGCTTGCTTCAATTTAATCGGTCATTTGGCCAATTTCAGTTTTGCAATTTTTCTGTTCAGCCATGGAAAACAATCGATTTGCTTGCCTAGAATTTAGGAGATTTGATTGTGATTTGCTTTCTTAAATCTATTGGTGATGGAATTTAATCCCACCAGACAACCCGACCCATCTCATCGAATTTAACAGTCGATTATGAGTGAATAAGTATTGAGACAGAGCTCGAGAAGATGATGAACAATAGAGAGTATGTATATTATTGCTAGATTGATCATGCCTCTTACAAGAAACTCCCCCTCTATTCATAGAACTACAGAACACAAGGATGGGTGTACATGGCAAGTAATCGCTATTCCTTGTCTTCCTCCACGATCTTGGCAATGGAGCAACTGGCGCATCATCATCCCCGAGGAATTGGTCATCCATCATGAGCTCGTCTGCCCACCTGCTTTGGCCCAATGCATAGCCCATCCTCCTTTAACACGCAGGCTGCGCGTGCATCTTAGCGTGGAGCTGGGCCGGATCCACGATGGTCAAGGCCCATATCCCATCAGTACGCATTCATTCCCATGGATTTTTTGTTTTGCCAAGATTTACTTCCATATATTATACCAAGCATGTAAAAGAATCCTTCGGTTCTCATCCAGTCACCCCTATTTGACATTATATAATTCATAAAGATTCAAGAACTAACCAAAAGTATCCCATCTGGTAGCATTTGATATTATGGTTTTAGCATAGAAATTCCTCCCGTCCGACAGTTTCACTCCCACCTACAAGGCAAACAAGAACAAAAAAAACACATTTGCATTGCATCTCATAACATGAACTTGACTCTCAAACCGATGGATGGAGACAGTAGAGTGCTTTGGAGAATTTACAGGTGAAGGGTTTGGAGGGATAAGTCTATATTTCGCTGCAAAGTATATATTTGAGATTTTATACTATTTAAAGGAACAACATAGTACGTGATCATACTGTCTCCATCCCTCAAGAAAGTTCGCACTTTCTATTTTTGTCAATCCCAAAATTAACTTTACACTTCACTCATTTCCTTTTTAGAAAACGAGTGTGGCTTGTAACATTTCTCTCTTCTTAAAAAACTCCTATCTCATACTTTACTTTTCAACACTTAAAATCTATGAAGTCAAAGTGCAAACAATATTGAAGGATAGAAGTATAGCTTTTTTATCACCCTTTATTCAATTTTAGAAACATTCTATCTATCATGATATAAACCAACCGTCAAAACTCTTCTTCTCCCAAACCATCCAAACCGTCCATCCAAACAGACCCTTAGAAGGAGCAACAAGTGTAGTATTGTAGTAATCAATCTTACAGCTTTGTCGTTGTCAACAATAATATTGGTTACATTTGCCTTGTATAGTATTTGACTACCCTGGCTTTGCAAACCCTCTGTCAATGATTTGGCAATTTCTCCTACTCCACCAGCAGGATAGTTGACTCCACCAAAATGCCTGTCGCATAGGACCTATGGAAGAATACCCTTGTAACTAGATGGGAACTACATGGATCGACTGGGAAGGTGGGAAGTTAATAAGAAAGTACCATGCTTGCATTGATCATTGGTGTTTTTAAAGCATTCACGGTGCTGATAATGAAGCACTGAAGAACCATTAAAAAAATCAAGAAATCGTTAGTGGGCAAAGTATGAAATTGAAAGCTCAAACAAATACTCCCTCTTTTCCATAACAAGTGTCGTTTTGGATGAAATCAAACATATTTAGAAGTTCTCAAATGCATAGAAACATGACATTAGTCACATTACTACCCTCTTACTAACATTTAAATATGATTGATGGTTACTTTTGCAAAGGGGTCACAAAGACGGGCGAAAATGACAAAATAGCATAAAAGAATGTCTTGGTTTTATAAAAAAGACAGTAAGACACATGTGAAACGGTTTTTTTTCTACAAAACGGCACTTATTGTGAAGAGGGAGGAGCAGTTAGCAAGCATAGCAGCTAACCTCCGCATCTATAAAGGAGAGCAACTGGGCATCTTTTATGAACTTCCGAGCAATGTCGCCAGCATTCTGGGGCAAATAAAAAGCTGTAAGGAGAAAACAGAAAAAATGAAATAACATTTTGATTTATGATACTTATAAATTTGCCTAAATATGAAATACACAGAAGAGGAAAGTGGATTTGTATTAAATTGGGTTTGTCCCAAAGGTATAGATCAGTTCCTAGGGTGTGCAGTTGATTCTCCATTTCCAAGATTACCATATTTAAATTTTCCTTTCAAAAAGTTCGTGATGGAAGTTATTCGTAAATTAACTTTTAAAAAAGTGAGAATACTTGTTCCATACAAGCATATCTTTGTAAGAATGATGGAGCACAACGGCGATACTTAAAAAGTTAAAAGTGCTACTTTATTCTGTAACACTTGGAAACAGCCTCTCAACTTCCAAGTAAGGAAAAGGTTTGCGTCAACACACCCTCCCCAAACCTTAGACCCTGTTTCTCTACTGGGAGTCTGGGTTTGTTTGTTATTGTTGTATCTGTAACGTTATTGAAGTGAAAGAGAAAATTACCAAGTGTCAAGCATTCGAGTGGCTTCTTAAAAAATTGTCTGAG